CGTGATAAGGGTATGTTAATTAGGAATTTGATATACACATAAAGGGAAGTTGTGTGCACCTTAGATGTAATCGTCATTTGCACGGATCTTCCATGTTGTACTACTTCTACCGTTCCTCCGTATTCTGTTTCTTGGTCTTTATTCCTTGTCTCTCATGTTTTGCCACAATACTGGTTGGTTCATTTCCTGTCTCTTTGACGTCAAACATATCTTTCCGATATTTGATATTTTTGGGCTGATGAACGTCTCCCTACGTCAGTAGCACAAGCCACAATGTTGCTACTGATTTTTCATTTAAAATAACAAATCCTAGGAATTTTCTCGAAGTATTTTTCATAAGAAATGTAGAAACTTATGCATATATTTAATTGTCTAAACAACATCATTTCGACATTCATTTTCTTAACGATAAACAGTTACAAATATTTCAGAAATTTCAGTTTGTTAATGGACTTTTATAACTACTTATATCCGTCTTCGTCTAGCCTCCTTTTGTGGGGGTTGTACTTTGGCGCAGGCTACTGATAAGATTTATCAGTAGTATATAAAGCGAATTTCATCGACAGAAAAATATTTCTAATAGTGGAGAGATAGATTTGACTCCAAAGAGGGAAAATGAACCAGTGTATTGCGGGAAAACATGTGGAAGACACGAAGAGAAGAAGACACAGAAACACACAATATGAAGGCAAGGCAGTGGTAAGTAGCATAACACGGGAGACCTGTGCGACAAATGACGATTTTCATATAAGGTGTCCACCTTATGATTTTCCTTTAAAGAGATATGAGGTTCCTAATAAACATTCCATTACGAAGTATATTATCTTCTTCCGTAATGACACTACAACACCATTCGAAGTATACACTTATAATTCCTAAAGTCTGTAGGTTTATTGGCTTTCTTCTTTAACATACTAAATATTCCTATAGTAAAATGTAGAACAACACATTTAAGCGAACAATATTGTTTTCAATTTGATCTCATCAGGCTTTTGTCTATAGGATAGGATATTAAGATGGTGCATATAAATTGTGCAATTAGTCATAATAGTAGTAATGATAATAATAATTATAGTAATAATAGAAATGGTCTTATCAATAATAAGGATGAAAAAGTGAGGCAATCTGTGATAACACGAATAATGAAAAACAGCATGATTAAACAAACAACTGTTCAGGTGGAAGCAGTTGATAAAGGCTAGTAAGAACAAATGAACCGATTAAGTAATGTTAGATTGTAAGGGAAGGAAATGAAACACGTTTATAATGAAGATAAGATTAAAGGATGATAAGAAAGGGGTTGACAATATAAACAAAGGGTGGTGTAGAAGTTATTGGTTGGTTACGTCTTAATAGGCCAAGGGAGGGATAAAGGCTGTACGAACTTTTTTTGAATACATAATTTAGGTTTAATAGTTCGAATGCTTATTGCCTCAGCTGTGTGTAGTAGACGAATACGAAGTCTGTTGGAAAGATTCGGTTGGATACGATGAATCACTTTGAAGGCTCTCGTTTTCTCAATTACATGACCACTATCAATTAAGTGTGACAAAATTGAGCTACGGATTGTTAGTGAAGATTTTGGGTCCTCTGCACAGAGACATCGTGCAACATAGAATTAGTGATGTCTTCGATTTTATTTCTAAAATATCCGAGACTAATGTGAAGTATAAACGCATGTTATCCATGGATGTATCGTCACCATTCACCAATGTACCGCTTATGGAAACAGTAGACTATATTTGTCAAGAAATCGCCGAAAGGCAATTAGACTTAGGAATCCTCTTGTGTAGCCTCAAAGAATTACTTCTTAAATGCACAATGAATGTTCACTTCGTCTTTAACAATTCTTACTATCGACAAGTAGATGGAATAGCTATGGGTTCACCATTAGGCCCAATGTTAGCTGACTTCTTTCTCGCAAAACTTGAAAACGGGAAATTGAAGGACATCATCAAGCAGTTTGATATGTATTACCGATATGTCGATGATACATTTATCTTAGCTGATGAGAATGTTAATACAGACGAATTGTTGCTGAAATTCAACAACATCCACCCTTCGCTTACCTTTACTTGTGAAGAGGAGCAGGACAATAAACTACATTTCCTGGATGTCTTGCTAAGTAAGAGAGAAGATGGGTCACTCAGGAGAAGCGTGTATAGAAAAAGCACTTTCACAGGGCAATACACACACTTCCTTAGTTACGTGCCCATTAAATATAAAAGGAATGTTGTAAAATGTCTTGCGAGCAGAGCAAGAAAGATATGTACGGATGACCTCTTACAAAAGGAATTTGAATATATTCACGATTCCTTGATGGAGATTGGCTATCCGAGTAGTTTCATAAAGAAACATTTGAAAACATCGGAGAAACAACCGGAGACTCTGACTGCACGTAAGAAACCTCTATTCATTAAGTTACAATTTAATGGTGACTTATCAAGTGAGATTCTATTCCAAAGACTTTCAAGGAGTATACGAAGAACATTTTATGCAGCACACCTATGTTTGTCATTCTCTAGCCGAGGAATGATTGGGACGCAAACGAAGGATAAGCTTGATAGTTTTGTACATCTATGTGTATTTATCAATTCAACTGCACCTGCGGTGACAGTTATATTGGGCGTACTACTAGACAGCTTAGCCAACGTGTTAGTGAACATCTCCCATCATGGTTTGGCAAAGGACAGACAAAAACAATCCGTAGCTCAATTTTGTCACACTTAATTGATAGTGGTCATGTAATTGAGAAAACGAGAGCCTTCAAAGTGATTCATCGTATCCAACCGAATCTTTCCAACAGACTTCGTATTCGTCTACTACACACAGCTGAGGCAATAAGCATTCGAACTATTAAACCTAAATTATGTATTCAAAAAAAGTTCGTACAGCCTTTATCCCTCCCTTGGCCTATTAAGACGTAACCAACCAATAACTTCTACACCACCCTTTGTTTATATTGTCAACCCCTTTCTTATCATCCTTTAATCTTATCTTCATTATAAACGTGTTTCATTTCCTTCCCTTACAATCTAACATTACTTAATCGGTTCATTTGTTCTTACTAGCCTTTATCAACTGCTTCCACCTGAACAGTTGTTTGTTTAATCATGCTGTTTTTCATTATTCGTGTTATCACAGATTGCCTCACTTTTTCATCCTTATTATTGATAAGACCATTATTATTATTATTATTATGACTAATTGCACAATTTATATTCACCATCGTATTATCCTATAGACAAAACACCATGATTGGCTTATATTTGAATATTTACTTGTAAAAATATGTATATTAGAGTTGAGCCTAATGAGATCAAATTGAAAACAATATTGTTCGCTTAAATGTGTGGTTTCTTCTTTAACTTCATGCAGGCGTAACCATGATGATCTTCAGCTGAATTCTACGAGTCGTGTCAATTAAGACAAAATAATTCTTGTTATAATGGCAGACTGGCTAAAGAGGTTTTGCTTGATATTTAATTGTATTAATGTTTTCTTTTGGTAAAACAGAGATGAAACTTTACAAATGAGATATTTATGCTTGAATTGGCTCTTGTTAATATCACAGAATAGTGCAACTGATACAAATTCAACAACAAAGGTGACAATTAGACTTCTCCCTCAAGCCAACTATTTTGATTTTGCATGATGAATTTCTCCAAGAATAGATACCAGTTTAAGAGATACTAAAACTCAGGGGGCACTTAACATGTAGTTCTTCCTGGTTTAGGTCTCTTAGGCGATGCCCATCCGTAACAGAATTTAAGACTCAGTCCAGATCATCATACCAAAAGATAAACTCTTTAGGCTATTTTACGAGTTGGTCACGGAGTGATATCAGTTAGAGAACCATTGAAAACCAGGGGGTACTGGACAGCTGCTGTTTCATCCTGGTTTGGGAATCATCGGCAGTACACACCCATAGGGGTTCGAACCCAGGACCTTCCGGTTACAAGACAAGCTCGTATACCATTCAGCCACTGGGACCCGATTCAATGGCTATTTATCGTAACGTCGTTTATCTTCATATCATTCACTGTTAGACGATCGAATGAAATCAATACAGAGGTGTGTTTGATTAAGCGTCTCTGAATACTAACATTTGGATTTCAAAATGCTCATATTCTACTGAAGATAATACCTCATATCATGCAGCCCTATTGATTTTACTAGTTTGTTGAGCTTATGATTAGTGTTTTATGGATTTTTGATATCAGAGTCACTTAGTTTCCACCAACTCAAAGTCAACTCTGATCAGTCCATACTTGTCTACCATCAACCTATCGACTGTCAGTTTCTCCCTAGACCCACTCTAGACTTGTGGATGTTAACCTTTGAATAAGTTTGAAAGGTAAGTCATCTGAAGTTTTGTTTGATGAAGGTTTCTGCTAGTGGGGAAAATTTATTGAATTAACGGAATTCTGGAAATATTGAAAAGCCATTTTTTCTTCAAATCTGAACCCTCGACGGGAATCCACGAACACTCTTATTTCTTCAATATAACTACTTTAGCGATAAACCATATGGCTTAAACGTCATTATTCTCCACCTACTATTTTGAGTGGTACGCTGTACTTGTGATCACAGTAATTATCCTGTAGACTCCAGCAAAACGCCTTTCCATTTATTTTTCCAATGTGAAAATGTCACGTCTACGTTGGATACACGCTGTCAGAAACTTTATTGATCTATAAGAGGACGAGAAGTATTTTTCTACTGGAGTTCGTTATACTGTGGTCTATTTATTGCATGTGACGCAGAATTCTGTTGGAACCTCTGTATTTAATTATTCTTCTTAAAGATCAAATGATGGCATTCATTTCGGAGAAGTTTTAAAGTTAAGTGGGATGATTTTTGCGTACTCTCCAAGTATATGTCAACTCTTCACCAAGTCTTAAACGTAAGCAACTCCTACCATGGATAAGGTAGATTGTACTTGGCTCAAATCAAAGTTGAAATAAACGGTTACAATTAATAGTGCAAAACATACATACCTATTTGATTTGTTACACATTGTTTCCACAATCCACGTGATCGACTCAACTGGTTATAATCAGTGACAGCTCCAATGTATGGCACATCATAAACTGCCCAGTCTGGTGAAATTTGAACTGCTATGGCTAAACCCAAGAATATTAATTCACATATATATGAGGCTGTATTTAATCCTATCCATGCTGCACGACCAGAACGCATGGTTTAATCACAAAAAAATAATATGGAATAATCCCACAAATAATAATCAATAAGCGGTTAATTTTGGTTTCTTTTACATTTTATATAAAAGATATGTGCCATGAGTAGGAATATAAACCAATCAGATCATTGAATGAACCACCCACGCCATTGTAGACAGTGATGATAGGATGACCTTTATTGTTGCATTCTAATTGGTTTAAAATTTCAAGATGATAAGTCACTAAATGTTACTACTTATTATAGTTTTGCAGCTGTGATTTCGCCTTTCATTGAAACGTCTGATAAGTGAATATTAATCCAGATACCAACAGAGTCAACCTAGGTAACACCGGAATTTGCATCTGCTCTGATAGTATGGCTGGTTCTAAACTGTTGTAACTAGTCTATGAGACTCGACAAATAATCAGTCGTTGGCGTATCTACCAAGCTTTACAATTTACCTGACTCTATGTTAGTATAATAAAGGACAGACAATTTTTTCATTAACAAATTACACATTTCAAGGTGTAAAATGATCACAATTTTCTTTTCAGAACCCAAGATATTCAGATAACCGCAATTAATTCGCTTGATGCCATAGATGGTTCTTCAAGAAAGCAAATGAAATACCGCGCTGATATTGACCTATTGGGATGTCTGAGTAGGATTCAGCTCGATCATGATTGTTGACTGGCCAGATCTGAGTAAAACAGAAGCTGTTCAAGTCGTTGAATTATTCTAGTTGGACAACTAGACACCACATCTACAAAGTAGGAGACTTCTGGTATAAATCTACCCGATAATATTGTTGTGAGAACTGTCTGCAAGCCGAAATTGTAAACAACAATTTACCTCAATGTTTACGTCCAGAATCGGGGTCATGAAAAAACGATAGCAAAGCCTAACCTTGAGGAACTTACCAACCAATCACAGTAGACTTAACGTGTGCAAATACGATTTGAAGATAAATGGCTTAACTTTCTGAGAAATGGTCACAAATTGATGATAGAATAACCTTCAGCGAGAAGACAATTAATCAGAGGACGCTGCTTCTCTGCTAACAATAACGCTAATAATGTTGTACATAAAAATCTATAAATATCTCTTGATTTTCTCAATAAAGGATCTGTTGCCTAACCCTTGTCTTCTGTCGTTACAATATTATTCACATTGTGTAGCAGTTATCATTTCTCAATAAACTAGGGCCTTATATCACCACTGAGGAAGTTGAAAATCATGGTCACTGAGTTTGGTTTGCAGTAGGGTCACAGGCGCATACTATTGAACAGTATCAAACTAAGATGAAACAGAGATTGAGTACTCCGTGGTTTTCATTGGTTCTCTAAATGATGTCAGTCCGTGACGAAATCTAACTTGGGTAACTTTAAACATCAGAGAACTAGACGAAGGACCCAGGTAACTAGACGTAATCATCTTTGACCAACCGATCAGATGGGCCAGTAGTAAATACGCGTAATTTGAAAACACCTTTCTACAGAAATCAAAGTCAATGTTTTAAAAATAGTTATCAGGGTTAACTTTCTTGTATGTGTCCGAAGAAAACCTCCTAATTCATTACTGGAGTCTTCAGCGATAGTCCACACCTATATCTACACATGAATTCGTGATCCATTCCCTAGTCTGCGGCATACATAAACCCAAAAAGAGGAACGTCACATCTTCACCGACAGATTTTCTATAACTTTAGTCTAGAAATCTGTTCACATCAACATCCATCAACAGCGGCTGCTTACCCATGTAAAAAGACATTACTCCTCCACACCTACAAGCTTCCTGTAGGCCTATTATTCCTGCTATATTCAAATACTATCTCTTGTTGCATTCTGCAATGTAATTCATGTTCTGTATCTATATTTCCGTGTTTCTGTTATCGGCTCATCTGACTGATTACACACGTTTACCTGGATCCTACGTTTAGTTCGCTGATGTTTAGAGTTACCTAACCTTGAACTCATTCAAATCCCTACAAAACCAACATTTATAAGTGAAATAATATATATAATAAACTGTGAACATTAAATTTATCTTGTCTTGATGTCAATCAACAGTCGCACCAGCGAATAACCAATCAATACTCATTTCTTTCTGTATATTTTGTTGCGTAATCGATTGTTGGATACTTCGCTGCGTTCGTTCCTTGTTGTTAATTCTTTTTAGCCGACCATCTAGAATTCAGTCAGTAGTGTATGTAACTTGGTCAAATAAACAATTCTCCTGTCAGTTATTTTTGTGTTCTTCATCACTGAACAGTTTTCTTCATGGGATTATTTGAGGTAGAATCGGTTTATCTGACTAATTTCATTGAGTGATGGAGTGGAGTGCAAAAAAGAAACAATATTCAAATTGTCTTATTGTATGTAATCAATCTGTCACATGACACCAGGTCGGAAGTCGGGAGTGAGGATCAATACTCACCAGCGATGACACTGGCTGGTGCCAGTCGTGTTGAAATCACAAATTGGTAGGAGTTGGAATTCACGGGCTGACCACTGAGTCTGGTCCCAGTTGTTGAATAGTCTACGACCCTAACTTGTAACTGGAGGGTCCTGAGTTCGAAACCTGGTGGTAGGTGCATTCTGCTGATCACTGTGGTATATCTTATTTTCATTCTTGTGATTTCAGATAAGTCTAGAGCTGTTGAGTAACAGCAATATAGAGTGATGCCACTTTATACCCTTAAATTCGGTAATTCTTACTTTATAGAGAAAATACACATATTGGGTTTCCTATTGTCTGATATGATTGGAGAGAAATGCTTTGTCAGTTTGCGCATCACATTCTAGTGTGGATGTTTCGACGATGCTATCAGATCAATTTGATTTCATCTGTTTGGTGATGGTTAGCAACGGATATCAGGACAAGTGTTTGATTGTACATCGGATTCATCGGTTGGAAGTGTCTTCATCTGGACGAGATAATATGTCCATGAAAAGATTCTTAGGCGTTCGGAACGACGTGTGAAACAGAGGCGAATCTTTCTGAAGAGTCCCAAATAGGGCGAAAGCCATTCTAGAATTGATTCCAATAAAATTCAAGCAAATAATATTCTTTCCCCTAAATTCTTCACGTTCTTCAATTATATATATCTACATACATATATAAAATATTCTTAAAAATTGACATTAACAATATCAGTGGTATCTAAGTTATATTAATTTGAGATCGCAGTTCAAGAAAGGTATTATTCTGGTGGTGTGATGCAGACAACGTCTGCCAATGGAATATTATTCTCACATATTCCCACAGCTCATTTCAGCATTAGCAACAGAGTACAATATATCTATTTAAACATTCTGTTTCATGCTAGAGTAGTGCACTAGGACGGGTGCACATTTGTGCAAAGTTCTACGTTGTAACCAGCCAGTTAGATCTTAACAAATTTTATAGCCGGAAGAGGGATTTATCGAAAATAATATTCTTTGTTCGTACCTATTTTTGTCTTCTACATATCTGAATGGGAATTTTCACTACATTGGAACCTGTTTTGTATAACTTACACTTATAACTGCTAAAGGAATCCAGCCGAAGGGAATCACTGAAACTCCCACTCATTTTATAGATCTCATAAGCAACAATGGAAAGAATAGTAATGGCAATAATCTTGTACTTAGTAAATACCTTTACTCAAAGAGAATACAAAACTATGTACTATAGGAATTGACTTTCTATTCTATCAATAATTACTAAAATGGTTAATATTTTACTGAGTTAAATTATGTCATACATATTAGAAATTCTTTAATATAGGTCATTAATAATATTACTTATATACATAATTTATGTATATATCCATTCAAAATTTTCAAATTTCTTTGTATTAACTACCGATCGATTTTGTGTGTGCGTCCTTCAAACCATTTTATTATTGATTACTACCCAGGCTTAAATATACATGCGCGCATATATTAAACAGATGTCATATAAGAATGCTAAGAAGAAGAAGACGATCGGATCATATTAGTGAATTTCTAGTCTGAATGTAAGAGTATTTGATGATTATAATGTAGGAGGTATATAAGAGCAATATTATAAAGAAAAGTTCACTAGTTAACCTTAAAGTACGCCAAAAATCAAGGCAGCTAACTGGAACGATAATTCAAGTAATAAGATGATAATGGCCTAATATAGCCTTTTGTAACTTAAACAGTTCTACAATAAATGCATCCACCTGTATAAGATGCTCACAGAAATCAATTTAATTTGTTCTTACTTAATATTTACTACTTTAATTGAGTTTCATTGTGTAACTGAATATTTATTTTCAAATGTCGTGTTATATTGATTGAGTGGTTAACCGCCTTCAAACTATTTCGCGCACTTTCAAATTCAACTTCACGAATAATATCATGATACTATAAGCCTTATCGTATGCTTTTTGATTAAAAACACGGTTTTGTTTGACTATTTTCAACATAGAAATTTGTACAGATATGCAGTAGTTGCAATTGCCACTCTGCATTCATGTACCATGCAAAGCAAGAGAATAGAGAATCAATACAAGAGAGATAATAAACAGAAATGTGAATTAAGGAAAAGGAAAAGTAATATGGAAGGACAATAGAGTCTTATTGGATATGACTGACAAATCACAAACAGTGAGTGCATCTGCACCATCATCGAGAACGACTTTGAACCATATCACTAATTATCTCCAACCATTGGTTTTACTGTCCCGAAAACCCCAACCAGCTAGCCAGCCAGTCTCCACCTTCCTACGTGGCTGGCTGTCTGTCTGGTTGAAACTAACTGTTGTGGATTTCACTGACTGATGAAGCCATGGTTTGGTTTGACTACTACTACGTGCTTGCTCTTTTCCAATCTGATCCATCCTATGTGAGCGGGTGGCATTGCCCTTTGTCGAGGAAGGCGAAGGATGGTTAGGCATTCATATCACCTGTCCTAACCATCTCTCTCAATCGGTGTAACTTCACATCCTCGTCAATTGATTTTCCCCTCTCTACCTAGTACTCGACGTATTTATGTATTAGTAAGATGCAACATTTATTTCGCTACAGATCGTCAAGACATCACTGGAGTATGCAGTACTGTGTA